CTCGTGTGGATATCATTTAAGTTTGGACGACCACAAATCGTTCCACACAATCGTGACATGGTGTCTGCAACTCCATTTTCCTTGCCTGGTCGATATACGATATCATACTTGAAACAAGACAGTTCTAAACGCCAACGTTGTATCTTTTCATTCTTTATTTTTCCAAATCTTTTATTGTCAAACATGAAAGAAACTGATCTTTGGTCTGTAATGAGTAGGAATGGCCGGCCAATAAGATAGTGTCTCCACTTCTTAACAGATTCTACGATTGCTTGAGCTTCTTTTTCAACAGAAGAATGGTTCTTTTCAGATTTTGATAATGTTTTCGAATAAAAAGCTACTGGACGTCCTGCTTGTGACAAGGTTGAGCCGATTGCAAACTCAGATGCATCGGTCTCAACTGTAAATGGTATGTCATTTTGGATTGGGGCTTTAGTTGCAGTTACTATTTCATTTTTCAATTCATTGAAGGAGTTAATTGCTTCTTCTGATAATGGAAAACTTTTAGTCGATGAAAGGGGCTGAATCTTCTCTGAAAAACTCTTGATAAAGTCTGAATAATGAGCGAACATGCCCATGGTTCGACGCAATGATTGGCCATCATGAGGAGGTGGTAGTTTCAAGAGCGGCTGAAGACGGTCTGGATCAGGACGGATTTCGTTCTTTGTTATTACATATCCTAACAGATGGATTTTGTCTTGTGCAAAAGAGCATTTTTCCATGTTCAGAGTTAAGTTGTACTTCTTGGCTACATCTAAAAACTTGTTCAAATTTGTATCATGTTCATCTTTATTCCTCCCTCCAACTGTTACATCGTCCAGGTAAGCTACAGTGCATTCAAGTCCTTCTTTTTGTATGATTGAATCAATTTCTCTTTGGAAACAGGAGACGCCATTCGTAACACCAAAAGGAATTCTGCAAAATTGGTAAAGGCGCCCACAGGCTTCAAATGCTGCATATATTCGTTCTTCATTTTCAATTTGTATTTGATGGTAAGCACTCTTAAGGTCAATAGTGCTAAAAACACTGAACTTTGAAACTTTGTTAACGACATCTTCAACTCTGGGAAGTGGGTAGGCGTCAAGTTGAGTGAATCGATTTATTGTTTGGGAATAATCAATGCACATTCGCTTCTTTTTTGTTTCACCTTTAACTACAAGTACTTGTGCTCTCCAAGGTGAAGTGCTTGGTTCAATGATACCCTCTTTCAACAAGCGTTCAGTTTCTTCTTTTATGAATTTCGAATCTTCTTCTGAATAACGTCCAACCTTAGCTGCTGTAAGTCCGCACACCTTCAGCGTAGGTTTCTTACCCCCAAATCAAATGAGACTTCAACGCTTGAGTGTTCCTTGAAAATGTCATGTCCTAAGACAACATCAGCGCATAAGCCGTCTAAAACAAGGAGTTTAGTTTTGTTGTAAATATGACCTTGAATCGACAAATCAACAAGACTGTAGCCAGCTGTAACTGGTTGATAAGAAGTAGAAGCCATAGTAACACTAACGGTGGTTGGAAAGATTGTTATTCCCCTCTTTTCTACTAGAGATTTACTAATAAATGTTTCCGAACTACCAGTATCAACTAAGGCATCAGTTTTAATCCCATTTACTTCAATCGTAATAGTAGATTTAGATAAAGATTTAGGTGCAGCTGCACATGTAGCTGGATTTTTGCTGAAAGTTTTTTTTAGAGTCAAGTTTTGTAGGAGGTAATGAATTACTTCCTGACTTACAAACCTTCATGAAATGTCCTTTCTTGCCACAAGAATGACAAATATGATTTGCAGCAGGACATTCACTTCTAGTATGTTTTTTACTGGAACCACAGAAATAACATTTCCAGGAAGTGGCTGATAAACAAGTTTCCTCTGCATTATTTGAGGACATGTTACTTTTGACAGATTCTGGTTCTGAAGTAGTAGAATGTTGTATGCAATTTAATTGAGAATGTTGCTTGTTATAATATTCTGATTGATACTGAGCTAATTCCAAAACTCTAGCTTTCTCAAAAGCCTCATTCAAAGTTAATGTTTTATTTTCTAGAAGTCTTTGTCGGATATCTGGGGAAATCAAACCTCTGATAAATGCATCACGAATATAGTCATTTTTATTTTGTTCTGCAGAAACTTGGGAAAAATTACAAGGTTTACTTAAATCTTTCAAAGCTTGTAAATATTGGTCAACTGATTCCCCTGACTTCTGAAAACGAGTTGCTAGAAGATGTCTGGAATAAATCTCATTCTTAGGACGGATATAGAGTTCTTTTAAAATAGCTATAGCTTCATCAAATGTTGTAGCTCCAGAGATGTATTTGTAGACAGATGGACTAATGTGATTAACAAGTAAACGTAGTTTTACCTTTTCATTTGTTGCATTAGAGTCACATTCCTCAAGGAAGTTGGTAAAAGTCTGGTACCAATGCAGCCATTGTTCTTCTGCACCATCACTTTCTGGCTCTACATCAAATCTGTCAGGCTTGAGGAGTTTGTCCATGACTTGTGAAAAGAGTTTATTAAATTGAAGTGCAAATAAAACTCATTATGAATAGACCTAATGATAGGTTTTAATAAACTCTGAAGTCAACATACAAATACAAAATGTAAATAGTAAACAAAGAACAACTGTGAGACAATAAATAAATTCATAAATACAGTAAGGAATAATAACAGTTCATATGTATAAAAATATTATCACAATTTACAACAAATAAAATAAGACGTTTATCTTTCAATAAGTAAAATTAAAAAGATAAAAAAACTTGCCAGATGACTACGGAGATGATGTGTTACATTATTTGTAACATCGAATCATCAAAACAAAATACTCTTATAGTAAGCTTTTTGGAGAAGCCTATCTCGTACAACAAGCGTCTACAGCAGCCTGACTGATCACTTGTTTCAAACTGTGTTCTGTAGACACCAGGGGCCCATTTCATAATAAACAAACTAATAACAAACTACAAACTAATATTATTATTAGTAAATCAGCTGATCGCCCAATGCAAATCTAATGGAAAGTACAAGCTACAACTTGTAACTTACAGCTGATTTACTAACAATATTAGTTTGTACTTTATTATGAAAAAGGCCCCTGCTCATTAATTCGCATATTATTAATTTAAATTTATGAATATAAACATGGAATTGAAAACCAAAACAATAGATGGATTAAAAATCTATATCTGTACATTTAAAGTGGAGTCAATCATCCCATTGATCACACGAAGTTCTAACTTTGCCGTTTGCCGTCCGCTGTATTTTTATTTCAGGATTAGTTATCCCAACAGTGTCATTTGGAGGCTTCTGATTGGCTGAGGGAACACGATTACCGAAACGATACGGTGGCCGGTGGGACGAAATATCATAGAGATCGATGGACGACATCGGCCTCGGTATAGTGGAAAGCGAGTCGAGCTGGTAATCTAAAGGTGGTGGGCATCGTCTGGTAGAATTGGCAACGTCGCAAGTGGTGTTGTTTAGTGACATACGTCCCATAAGATAACATGGCAAACAGGTGACATTAGCTCATATTTCTGCACTTAATTGATTTAAAATATTAAATTTAAAATATTAAAATATTGAAAATAAAATATACATAATTGAAAACCGAAACAGTATAGATTAAAATCTATATCTCTACATTTTAAGAGGAGTCAATATTGTCATAGTCCAGTAACCAATCTTTCATTAATACAAAAAATACCATTAGCTGCTTCCAAACAAAACAGCTGTTACAACACTCCACTTGCGACGTTGCCACTTCGAAGGCCTGGAGTTATAGGCGGCCATGATCGAATCCCATTTGGTAGCACTAACTTTTTGTCAAAACCTTTTTCATTATCAGCAAGTTTGGTTGGTTTGGTTAGGTTATGATAGTTTAATTTTATAATTAAAACATTATAAAATTGAATTTGAGGCATTTTTTAATTTTATTTTATGATAGAACTATTTTTTGATTAGTAATACTTCATTATAGTCAATCAGAAGCCTCCAAATGACACACTGTTGTTGGCAAAACTAATCCTGAAATGAAAATTGTGCTTCCCGTCTATTTACATTTTTAAAACATTGTCATCCAAGCATCCATAGTTATCCTCTCCGCAACAATTTCAACCTGGACACTCAAACACCTTTCTTTCAGAAAAACTCCCCGCTTCAATGAAGTAAAACTTTTCCACACAGTAAAACTAGCTGAATAACTAGCCTTCTTATAAATGTTAAAATAGTGAGAAAAAACTCGTTCACAAGAACCTAAAAAAAGATTATCCCCGGTAGAGGGCCCTGTCCGGGCTTGGCCACACTACAAAATGTTACCAAACTTCCCACGCAAAGATTTAGTCCAGAAAGCAGCTGTTTGTCGACAGCTTAATCATGGGGTTTCATCACATGAGTAGTGATCGTTATGGGTCGATTCACACTATCAGTTCCAGTTCAGTCACGGTTCCGTTAGGGTAATGCCACACTAGGCTGTTTTGGGCGGCCAAGTTAGTCGGTTTCCATCGCGCCAGAAATAGAACTCAAGGGATCAACTCAATAGAACTCAAGGGAATGGAGGGTGCCACACCGGTAGGGTATTGTCGCTCAGTGAAGTTGCCGCCCGTGACAGTCGCGGTGGAATGGGACTGGGCCTATTTCTTCGGCGGGAATTGTCGCCAGCAACCCTGCCACACTCGGCTGTTTTTCCCGTCAGTCAGTCGTGCAACAGCCACGCTTCATCGTACCTGGTGTTGAGTGTTTCGTCATGACTGAAGATAGTGGCTCATTCCAAATGGATCATTTGGAAGTATGTTTCAAGTTTCAAGTCTCTGGCTCATCGGGAACTTAGTATAAAATCAATTGCAAAATTTGTACCGGACAAAAAAGCGAGCTAATAAAAACGTTTTAAAATAGCTTGCAGCAATTGTTTTTACATGATCTTACGTCAATGACCTAAGCTTAGCAGAAAGACTAATTAAACCAAACGCTCCTTTCCTGATTCACTATAAAATAGAGAGCCCAAGAAGAAGTTTAAAGTTATGTCGAAATCGAAATAAAAAGCTTTAACTTCAACTCAACCAACTCGAAGGACGTGAATCCTCGTAGTAAATAGGTAATTTTAAAATTTTAATAACTCCTAAGTTATTTGCTTCTGAATTTGTATTAACTCTAGTATTGTTTCAATATTATATGAATTGTTTACTATTTGTATTCTTAATGCAATATAACAAGTGATTTTAAGTCCAGTGGCATTCAAAATAAACATAACCTACATGGATTAATGACTTAGCAGTTAGATGTAATTTCTTCCTTTGTTTCAGAATTAAATTACAATGTCAGGGGACATGATTGAAGATAAAAAGGCAAGTATCATATCCGAACTTAAAATTACTCTATTTATTTATATCTAATAATAGATCACGTTAATACAAAACCTCACTCTAAAAGTTAGGAGCTAACTTAGGCTAGGTTTCTTTATTTGGTTAGGGATACGTTTTAGGAATAGCCAACTTTAATACTTTACTTTAATGCTTTTCATTGAAATGGTGACCATACAAAGTAGATATTTTAATTTATTCCTTTTTAGTTTTTTAAATTATGTTTTTGTTCTTGATAACCTTATTTAGGCACTATCTTATCTTTGTTTATTGCGTATTATTTATTTCATTTAGGCTGGTAGCTTATTCATTTTAGCAACATGACACTAATGATGCATGGTCTTAACTGTTATTTCATGCATAATCTGAAGTCAGCATACAAATCTAAATGTTATGTGATTACTCTAAAATAAATGTCCGCAATAAACCTTTGAACAACATTAACTTACTTTGGGTTTGCCTTCCCTTTGTGCCAATTAACTTAGGCTTAAACTTTGCATTTAAGTGGTATAGGAATCTTCATTTCTAATAATTTGAGAATTCTAGTTTATAAACTTAAGTTAGGCCTGGGTCAATCCATTTAAAGTCATAGTTGCATAAGGCATAGTTGCTCAACATTTTTAATTTTTATGATACTTTAATAAAATGTTAACTGTATCAATAAAACTGACATGCAAGTGTTAAAAAAAAATTTTCTCAAAATTTTTTTTGGCAGCCATTTATGTTTGAGCAAAACGCGCGTTTAAATATATTTAACTTAATAGCTTTTTTATTTTTTAAGATAACAGGACAGATTGAAAACCAAAATATTCAGCAAGAAATGGACTTTAAATTGATATGACATAAATATGTTGTCTAGCATGTAAAATGCTAAAACGTAGGTAGCCTAAATAAAGATTTAAGCAGTGAACATTTTATTTTCTCTGCAATATTTTCATAAGATAAAGTAATTACTCACCTTTAATATTTTTTGTATTTTAAAGTTGGCATATGAGACAGTCTAAACCTCAAGTTTGGGTTATGAAAGTCTTATCCTTTTTTTCTTTATAAGTCGATAAATATGGTGGATTATCCGATTTCCGCCATTTTCAAGATCTTATAGGCCTATCACAAAAGGGACTGAACCAAAATCAATCAAATTTCTGTCATAAGTACTTGTAGTTGTAATTATGATGTAAGTTTGATCACTGAGACTCAACTAGTTTAGAAGATACGCAACATCAAAGTTGGGCGAAAATAGTGTAACAAGTAGCGTTAGAACAAGTAGTCGACTAAGCTAATCAGTTTATATATACTTGTTTTTAAAGGGTATGTTACTATGTTACAATCATATACACACAAATAAAACTTTAATAGATTAAATGGAGGCTTACACAATGAACTTTCATGTTTTGGTTTTATTGACACTTTTTCAATAAACGTATGGATTAAAAATGTTTAACCGTTTCTGATAAGACATTAAACCGAGTGTAAAAAATGTCGTAGGGATCACATTCCTTTATACAGTATCGATTCAATATTTAATCAAAAAGTTGAATAAAGTTGAAATCTCATTGCACTGTTTTTGTGAAATACCTATTGTAATTTCTTCCAGATGTGGTTGATAACTCTAATTTCTGTATTTCTCTGTATTTCTGGGTAATATTCTGTAGAACTATTTTAACTGGAACTCAAAAAGTGTCATTTGTTAAGAGTTTAAATGATGTGTTGGGTCCTGATGGATGGAAAAAGTGAACCAGGACGTCCTCGTTGTCTACATTCTTGTCTTGTATTTTGCCAATCCACCACTTCTCGTCATAAATACTTGCTATGTTGTCTTGATTGTTAAAGGATTAAATGTTAGTGAACTGTAATGATGTTCGCTGGTCTTCGAAATGTGTAGATTTTGATGTTTGAAAACAACTGATTTGGTTGTCACTTAAAGGGAAAAACCTAGGGAAATTTCTTGTAGGCTACCTGTTACAGGCAAGCAGAATTTGAACCTGCCTACCTTTAAGTTGCTCTTCCCATTCTTCAATTTCTCTTGATGTAACCTATATGTTAAACAAGGTTAGGTTAAACAATCTTTCTACTGCATTTTCATAGACTTTACAAAAGCTTACGACAGTTTAGACAGAAAAAGAATATGGAAAGTAATGGAAAAACAGGGAATTCCAAAAAAACTTATAAAAATGGCCTCATTAAGTGTCCAAGACTCAAAATGTAAAGTAAAAGTGGAAGGACAAGTGTCAGAGGCTTTCTCAGTAGACACTGGAGTGAGACAGGGAGATGGAATATCCCCAATACTTTTCAACATTGCTCTAGAAGAAGCACTACAGAAAGTTAAAAGTTCAGAGGTAGGGATAAAGATAGGAAAGAAAATAAATATTTTAGCCTTTGCGGATGATGTTGCGATATTAGCACATACAAAACAAGACTTAGAAGATCTAGTCAGAATATTGATTGAGGAAACGAAAAAGGCTGGCCTTGAAATAAATGATAGAAAAACTAAATATATGCAATGTGGTAGACGAGATGACCAAGAAGAGGACAATGAAGTCCTGCAGATAGAAAACCATGTTTTCCAAAAAGTGAACAATTTCACCTACCTGGGAGTCTTATTAACAAATGATAATAATGAAGAACTGGAAATAACTAACAGACTCAATGCTGCAAACAGAAGCCTCCATGCATGTAACAAAATTTTGAGCTCAAAGCTGTTATCCCGCAATACTAAAGTAAGAGTTTATAAAACTATAATTAGACCGACACTAATGTATGGATCTGAGTGTTGGGTAATGAGCAAAAAATCAGAAAAACGGTTAGTAACTTTTGAAAACAAAATTCTTAGGAAAATATATGGCCCAACTAAAGAAGATGGATTCTGGAGAATTAGACATAATTTCGAAATAAGAGAGCTATATAAAGACCCAGATATAACAGCTGAGGTAAAAAGCAGACGCATTAGGTGGGCGGGTCATGTCCTCAGAAGAGAACATGGCACAACCTTAAGCAGTGTATTTAGGAACGACCCAGAAGGCAGAAGGCCACCAGGCAGGCCTAAACTGAGATGGAAGGACCAGGTGCGACGGGACTTGAGGAAGCTGGGTAGAAATGAAGACCAGGCGCAGGACAGAGAAGGCTGGAGGCAATGTGTAGGCGAGGCCAAGTACCACTTGGGGTACCTATGGCCACTGCAGTAAGTAAGTAAGTAAGTAACCTATATGTATTTTATACCCGTATTTTTTCAGTGCAGAATTTCAACATTTCTTCTGGGTTCAGTATTTGGTTTTAATACAGTCTTTGCATACTAGCTCTTGTTACTTCTCGTATCTTGCCATGTGAGGAGTTCATAGAAGGCTTGATTGATAAACTTATGTCCCTAAAGGCCCACCATTTTATATTCAAAACACAAACAACACAAGTAACAAGAGCTAGTATGCAAAAACTGTATCAAAACCAAATACTGAACCCAGAAGAAATTTTGAAATTCTGCACTGAAAAAAATCACGGGTATAAAATACATATAAGTTACATCGAAAGAAATTGAAGAATGGGAAGAGCAACTTAAAGGTAGGCAGGTTCGAATGCTGCTTGCCTGTAACAGGTACAAGAAATTTCCCTAGGTTTTTCCCACTAAGTGACAACCAAATCAGATGTTTTCAAACATCAAAATCTACACAATTTCGAAGACCAGCCTACATCAATACCGTTCACTAACATTTAATCCTTTAACAATCAAGACAACATTGCGTATATTTATGATGAGAAGTGGTAGATTGGCAAAATACAAGACAAGAATGAAGACAACAAGGACGTCCTGGTTCACTTTTTCCATCCATCAGGACCCAACACATCATTTAAACTCTTAACAAATGACACTTTTTGGGTTCCAGTTGAAATAGTTCTACGGAATATTACCCAGAAATACGGAATATCCATTAGAGTTATCAACCACATCTGGAAGAAATTACAATATTTCACAAAAACTGTGCAATGAGATTTCAACTTTATTCAACTCTTTGAATAAATATTGAATCAATACTGTATAAGGGAATGTGATCCCCATGACATTTTTTAAACTCGGTTTGACGTCTTATCAGAAACGGTTAAACATTTTTAATCCATACGTTTCTTGAAAAAGTGTCAATAAAACCAAGATGAACATGAAAGTTCATTGTGTAAGCCTCCATTTAATCTATTAAAGTTTTATTTGTGTGTAAATGATTGTAACATAGTAACATACCCTTTAAAAACAAGTAAATATAAACTGATTAGCTTAGTCGACTACTTGTTCTAACGCTACTTGTTACGCTATTTTCGCCCAACTTTGATGCTGCATATCTTCTAAACTAGTTGAGTCTCAGTGATCAAACTTATACATCATAATTACAACAACTACAAGTACTTATGGCAGAAATCTTATTGATTTTGGTTCAGTCCCTTTTATGATATAAGATCTCGAAAATGGCGGGAATCGGATAATCTACCATATTTATGGACCTATAAAGAAAAAAGGATAAGACTTTCATAACCCAAACTTGAGATTAAGACTGTCTCATATGCCAACTTTAAAATACAAAAAATATTAAAGGTGAGTAATTACTTTTTCTTATGAAAATATTGCAGGGAAAATAACATTTTCACCGCTGAAATCTTTTTTTTACATTTTAGCATTTTACATGCTAGACAACATATTTATGTCATTTATTATATACAGTATCAATTTTAATTTGTCCTGATATCTTGAAAAATAAAAAAGCTATTAAATATTTAGTAAACGTTGATTTTTGTAAAAAACGCGTGTTTTGCTCAAACAAAAATGGCCGCCAAAAAAAATTTTGAGAGGAAAAAAATTTTAACACTTGCATGTCAATTCTATTGATACAGTTGTAACAATTTTCATAAAAAGGAAAGTTTCATAAAAAGTTTCAAGGAAAGTTTCATAAAAATTAAAAATGTGAAGCAACAAAAAATATTTATTCTGTATGATTTGTAATGGATTG